CCATATGATGACGAAAGGGATGCGAACAGTGGGAGTTTGGGGTTTTATCTTGGGAATTGGGGAAAAGTTCTTACCAAGGAGGGGCTACTAGGTAGATTGTTGCAGCTCTTGGGGGTAGTGGATATTAGCCAGTGTCTGGACAGTTTTTTTTTTTTTTTTTTTTTGACAGTTTGTTAATAATCAAGATTTTTTTTTTTTTCTTTCTTAAGGCTAATTCTTTTAAGCCCAACCAATTCAATTACCTGTCGAAACTGGACAGGTGGCCTTTCAGGCCTTTTCTATTGTCATTATAGTATAATTACGGGGAACCCCGTAGCAGCCACATCTGTGCTCAAGCCTCCAATGAGGGAACATGCGGGAGCTGCAGCCACCAGCAGGTGCGATACCCGCTACAGCAGGTGGGCGATACCGGCCAGGTGTCAGCCAGTAGAGCATTGGGACTGAGCTTCTTCGATGGGCCAGTCGCTGTACCTCCCCTCCGGTCCCCTACCCCTATGAACATTAGCAGTCTCTGCTCAATGCCACTCGGGAGGAGCAACAGTCTAACTCTAGGTGGCTGGTGCCAAGCTTGCCCAGGAAGGTACATGAGGCCAATGGGGATTGAACCCAAGACCTCCTGAATGCCAATTGCGTGTCTTACCAACTGAGCTAGGCCGCTCGAGATGTATGGACAGTATGGATACTGCTAAAAACAGTGGAAAAAAAAAGGAAAAAGCAGTAGTGGAACTGATAGTATCACCAACATGAAAAAAAAAGGAAAAGGATAAATTTCCAGTCGTCGGTCTTCTTCGGCCACTTTCGTTGCTAATACCACAAAGGATCAAGCATAGGTAGATAAGATTAAGGCTGAGGGATAGGCAAGGCAGGTTGAAAGCCAAGACCCGCCTCCGTCCGGCCATAGTCCTCCTCCCGCCATAGTTTCCCTCCTCCCTCCCGCCATAGTTTCCCTCCTCCCTCTTGCCATAGTCCTCCATCATCCCTCCCAACAGATCGCCTCCCTCGCTTCGCTTCCTCCTCATCTGCCATATCTTCCCTCCTCCGCCACCCCTCCCTCCT